TTTGTGCAAGTTGCGGGCATCTACCTTTATATCATTCGAGCCTTCTTCCACATGAAAGATTGCACTTTTGATTCTGTTTTATCCAATTTTGTATTAAGAATGCGTTGTTCTTGATTCGAGTTCAATCAATCTTTGGATTGATTGTTTGATGCGTAGTTCTAATAAAAAGCACCCCACTGGTGCTTTATCACAGCCACATAAGCAAAAGAACATCCAGCTCAATTAAAATTTTCCACGTCAGAATCAACTAACGGTCAAACGGACGGAAAGTTGACGATTTGGCTATTAAATTATTTTCGAAAAAGTTTGGCTATTATATTGTTTAAAATGTTCGGGCACATTTGCTTGTTGGATTTGAAAATGAGGATTTTGGGGTTTAAAAACTTTTGGATTTATGATGGATTTGTTGCATTATGGATTTGGAAAAGTATATTGTTTGTTTAGTTCATTTTTATCATGGATTTATGATGGATTTGTCTCACAACTATGCCTTCTATTACAAAATGAAATGTGTGATTTGCAAATCCCGAGGGTACACGAATTTGGATCTAAAAATATGGTCCAAATCCATGAGCCTCACGGATATGTGTCGCTTAACAAACAATGAATTTGTGACAAGTCCTTGATGCTTGGAATTTAGGTGTCAAATCCATCACTCAAATCCCACAAGAAAATGATACCGAAAGTTTGGCTATTAATAGTATTTACCTTAGCTCAGGGTTTCTCGTGGACCTAGTAAACGTGCCTGTTTAATGAAAGCCCAACAACCTAATCGGCCAATACTACTGTGCCGCCATAAAAAGTGTGGCACCGATAACGCACTTTCTAATTGGGCCACGTGGGACTGATGTGGCACTAGTTCAGTTTAATACATTGGTCCAAATTCGATGGCCCGAACCCATCATCCACCCAATCAAACGTTCTTTTCTTCCGTCTTCTCTTCTGTGTTATTCTTTTTTGTTTTTCCAATAATTCGTTTTTCATTTGAATTTTTTGTTTTTCCAATAATTCGTTTTTCATTTGAATTTTCTCCTAAATTGTTTCACCTAAAACAACACAAATGAAACCCCCGACCAAGCACCATCTTCCTCTGTCTCGCACTTCGGTGACTTCTCCATCCCTAATACGATCTCCAATCTCTTCCGTCATGCTCCAGTGAATTCTCTCATTGTCTTCCGCACTTTCCTGAGATATTAGGGGCTATTTTGTGCTCATATGAGTAAGCGGAGGGGAAGAACCACTTACAACTCCTTTGACAATGGGTTAGATGAAGGTAGGGCGTTGCCGGTGGCGGCAACCATGCCTTGAATTGAATGGTTGGCAACGGTTGTAGGTAAATTGCTTCTCAATTTGATTAGTTTTTTCCGTAGGCAAAGGGTGGGCATGTATCTTTAGGATCGTTTCATATTTTCACTTTATTTATCTGCTCTGTTCCTGGGGAAATTTCTGGTGCGCAGCTGAAGAGAGGAATGGAGGAGGGAGGATTCGAAATCCAAAACTTTCTATTTGATTTTTCTAGATAGTGATGGTTTGGTCCATCTAGCTCCCTTGTGTGTTAGAAAGTAGAGAAATCCTTATCATAAAGATTAAAGTAGTTCTTTTTAGGTAAAGATTATAGCATCTTGCCTTCTTCTAGTCACAACCTGGACACTATAAGTGCAATTCACTCTCTGGCAATCTCAGATTTGAGCATCTTGCCTCCTTGTATCCTTTTGTTGGAGCAGTGGTAAAATTTTAAATATCTGCATGCATAATTGCATATCTAGTTTCTTGACTTCTCATTAGAGGTAATAGGTTCAACAACACAACATCAAATGTGGAGTTTGCATAGCGAAGTACTTTTGCTCCGAATGCAAGTTCTTTGATGATGATGTAAAACCTACTCGGTCCTTGAAAATACTCTTCACATTTTGTTTTAGCCTTGTTTGTAACTCATCAGTGCAACTTGATCATTTTTCCGCAGGTCTCAAAGCGGCAATTAATGTGGCATATGCAGGTTACTGCTTATACCACTACCAGCTATTGCCTTTGATGATGAGAATGTTAGTTTTCATTTTCTTTACTCATGGTGTGTTTGTTTGTAATTTTTATGCTGCAAAACTGGTCAGGAGGAGAACTTTTTCCAATGACAAATGCGGTAAGATTCTTGAAGGGAAGGAAATATAGGAATTGAACATATGGGATTATGGTTTTTTGATTGGTCACGTGTTTGGTTTTGCATGTTTAGGATGATGCTATTCAGTATTATTGAAGGATTCAATGACATTAAGGTTCGACACTTGCGTGTGTACTTGCTGTATTGCTATCAAGCATTTTTGTTGTTGTTGAAAGATATCATTCTTATAGGTTGCCAGTTTGTGTACTTTAATTCTGTACCAATTGGTGTTCACTTGTCGTTTACTTTGTAGATGATGTCTAATTCAGTTTTGATGAAACTGTCATATGATTACAACATGAAAAGCATGAAGTCTGAGGAAGATGATACTGCAACCAAAGTATACACATCCTGTAAGAGCTATATGACCATTTGAGAGTCAATGGATTCATCTCAATATGGGGTCGGTAGCGCTGCCACGAGAAGGGAAACCTACTTTTGACGTTGTATGCATAATGAGACTCATAGAAGATGAGTACTGTATGTTCTTATTGTAATTGTTCTAATTTTTGTTGAATTTGCCTCGGATTCAGTTTCCACGATTCCAATAGAGAGAGTGTTGAGAGACCGGTACGACACAGAGGGAGGCGATTGCCTTTTTCTTTGCCTTCGGATGGTATGATACGGTGGCGGTAGAGCAATTTGATGAAGCCGACGTCTGGTCAGAACGAGGGATTATTCGTATATGTTTTACACAATATAGAAGAAATACGGGGAAGCTATTTAGTGGAGGGATTCGAGAGTGAATCGGCGGCAAAGAGACGAAACCCTTTATTGTTATCACAGTCCATCGGAGCAGGAGAGGGAGGAAGACGACTCTGTTCGTTTTGGTGTTCTAATTAATTAATGGGAAAAGAAACATTGAACAGATAAACGGATCAAGAGTCAAGATGGAAACAAAATTTTCTGTTTGTTTGGCCAATAGCAATTTCGGCTGATTCATGGGCTATCGGGTTGGGCTTGGATTGAATAACGCAATCAACGCCACGTCATTGCTCACATGAACCAATCAAAAGCAGCGGTACCAGTGCCGTACTTTTAACAACAGCACCGTAGTATTGGCCTAATTGTAGAAAAATTGAAAAGGGACCTCTTCGTCAAATCGTATTCCAACTTTTTCAGAGTCAGCCGCCATCTCACGGAGCAGCTAAAGGATGAAAATGAAACCGAAGAGCCACAAATGGAGAAAAAGCTGAGGACTCGAAGTTCCAAAGTCAGTCCTGTATGTAACGATCGGAGAAAGGCGGAGGATTAATTCTTGGTGAGTTCTTACCTGTCCTCTTCACTGTTCTCCGGTGTGGCACACAACGGGTCGTTTGCTTCATGGATTTGAAAAATGAGGGTTTTGGTAAAACTTGGGTTTTGGAAAACCATGGATATATGATGGATTTGGTGGCATTATGGATTTGACCAAGTCTATTGTTTGCTTGTTGGATTTGATTATAGATTTTGTTTGAATAGATTTGTGGATATGAAATTCAAATTACCTTGTTACCCTTATCTTAACTAATTATATTTCTATATTATAATCCATAAATTTCATTAAAAAAATCCAACGCATACAATGAAATTTTAAACTCTTTACCACTATGTGGACTAATAATTCAACTACAAATATAGAAATGTATTATAGTTTGGCACTAATTAACAACTCATCTAATAATGTACGCAATATTATGTATCAATTGCAACCATTTGCTCACTTTATTGCTACAACTCATCAACTTCTTGCTAACTCCCCGATTTTGGAATCCGACAATCAATCAAATAATAATGCACAAGATGAGCATAAGATGTTTATAGTTGAATCTAACAAATCACATATACATTCATATTTAAATAAACTATGATATTACAAAACGAAATAAAAAATTCTCATATATATAAAATACGACATTATAAAAGTTTATAATTGCAAGACCATTGAATTAAAGTAGGACAACTTTGTAATTAAAATAATAAGTAAGGGTAGAAAGGTAATTTACCATCATGGATTTTAATCCATCACCCAAATCCCACCTCAAGATGCGGAACTTCCAAGTCCGTGGGGTCCACGGATTTGGAACCCCAAAAGTGGCGGGACCCACAAATTCCATCTCCCTAATTCCCTAAGGCAAACGATGGATTTTCGTTAAAGTCCATGATGGATAGATTTCCATGACCAAATCCATCACGAAAACCCTCAAGCAAACGACCCGTAAGGTTTATCCTGTAGGTGCGGTCTTCAGCAGCTGTCCCTTATTAGTAATTTTTTCCCCCTTTCTCGGTCAAAATTGAGTGGTCCTTGTTGAATCTGGTTGAAATTTCATTGACCTTTCATATACTCTGGCATTTCCATTCCTTTTTTATTTGCTTTTCCTGCCTTCGGTCTGCGAACAGATGATGAAAGTTGAGTGCTGCATGTTTTTCGTTTCAGAGGAAAATTCCCCCTTGATTAATTCTTTTCGTTGCAAAAAGTTCTAACCTTGAAAACTTCCCAGTTTTTGTTTGCAGTTTGTAGAATGTCAGCGTGATCGTTATCTTTGTGTGTTTGCAGATATGTGAAAGGGAACCTTTTGCTGGCGTGGTTCAACTTTTGATTGAACACATGGAGTCCTGCAATTGTATTGAACCACAGTTACCCCCTGATGAATTGCTGTTCAAGTATCAATACATTTCAGATTTTTTCATTGCTCTTGCTTATTTCTCCATCCCGTTGGAGCTCATCTACTTCGTAAAGAAATCCGTTGTGTTCCCATATAGATGGGTTCTTGTGCAGTTTGGTGCTTTTATAGTCCTCTGCGGGGCTACTCATCTTATTAACTGATGGACCTTCACCATTCACTCCAGAAATGTTGCCACTGTGATGACGACGGCAAAAATTTTGACTGCAGTAGTTTCTTGTGCTACTGCCCTCATGCTTGTGCACATTATTCTTGATCTTTTGAGTGTTAAAACTAGAGAATTGTTTCTAAAAAACAAGGCTGCAGAGTTGGATAGGGAAATGGGTCTTATCCGGACTCAGGAAGAGACATGTAGGCATGTCCGGATGTTGACTCATGAAATCAGAAGCACTCTTGACCGACACACTATACTGAAGACCACTCTAGTTGAACTGGGTAGGACATTATCGTTGGAAGAATGTGCCTTGTGGATGCCAACACGTACTGGGTTGGAGCTCCAGCTTGCCTACACTCTAAGGCAGCATAATCCTGTTGGATATACTGTACCCATCCATCTACCTGTAATTAATCAAGTATTTAGTAGTAACCGGGCTGTGAAAATTTCTCCCAATTCGCCGGTGGCTAGACTAAGGCCTCTTGCTGGAAAGTACCCTGGAGAGGTGGTTGCTGTTCGGGTGCCACTCCTCCATCTCTCTAATTTTCAGATTAATGACTGGCCCGAGCTTTCAACCAAGCGCTATGCTTTGATGGTCTTAATGCTTCCCTCAGATAGTGCGAGGCAGTGGCATACCTATGAGTTGGAGCTTGTTGAAGTAGTTGCTAATCAGGTAATACCTCATTTCCTGAATGTTCGCTCTTCATCTTTGTGAATATTATTTTAAAAACCTAGGTTCAAGGTTGTCAACCCGCGGGTCGACCCACTTTGACCCTTACCCGGTAAGAAAAATGGGCCGCACGCACCCGCCGGGCCGACCGCTACAAGGTACCGGGTTGGAGGTCAAATTGTGTCATTTTTTTCATTGGTTTGCGAAATGCGCCTATTTTCCGATTTTTCTTTTCGCCTAGCTCAATTTTTGGATGCTAAGTTGAACATTTGAATATTTATGTTATATAAGTGTGTGTGAATTTTCACTATATGTTGGATCTATATACGATATGTTATTTTGGTGTAATATTATATGTTATAACTCATATGTTAGATAAGATTTGATATAATTTATGAGGATAAGTACAATATAATGACTTTTTCCATATTTCCGGGCCAAACCGGGCTAAAACGGTTGACCCATTAACCCTTGACCCACTAGCTCGACCGGGTCCGGGTCAACCCGCGGGTTGACAACCTTGCCTAGGTTTGATGTCCTAGATTTCTGTCCATGCCAGCAATACATACAGAGATGCACTGGTTTGCCATTGTTGATTCTTGCTAGTGATGCTCATCATTTTCCTTCAGTTCATCAAGGTTTAAAAATACTAGGATAATTAGAGTAAAATTGATGGATGATTGCATTTTTTTTGTGTCTAACTTATTATTTGACTATATCATCCAACTATAGGTGGCTGTTGCTTTGTCACATGCTGCTATCCTAGAGGAGTCAATGAGGGCAAGGGATCTACTTATGGAGCAGAATGTTGCCCTTGATCTTGCTAGGAGGGAAGCAGAAATAGCTGAAAACAACCGTTTAAATTGCTTTGTTTGTTTTTTAATTTGGACTTGCACTAAAGTTTCACTGCTAGATAACAAGAATTCACCGAGTAGTCATCAAATCTAGAACCCGGGTTGACATTAAAACCCAAATCCGCTATACTACGCTTTAGGAAGTGGTTACACTTGGCCAATTTCTAGAGTGACAGTAGGAGTGAGTCAAGTTTTTGGCGCCGTTGCCGGGGACGGCTAGGTTGTTGAAGAAAAGTGATTTCTGTTACTTTAGCATTTTCATTTTCGCATTGATTGTTTGTTCTTTCCCACTTGTGCCTACACGGGTTTGCATTGTTTGAGTGTGTGCAGATAGTGCATGACCCGTAGCCAGTCGGGAGGTTTACTGCCGTTGGATTCAGAGCTTGAACGCACCTGCCGCCAACTTAGGAGACAACAACGAGCTAGACTGCCTACGGAAGAGCGCATAGACGGCCATTTGAGCAGCGAGTCCGAGGACGAGTACGTGATGGAAGGAGAACACAACCCACCCCCGGGGAATCCTCTCCAGGTACCCCCGGCGAATCAACTCTTGGGGAACAACCCCATACCCCAGGCAGATGGGGTTCATCATCATCCACCGCCACCGGGTCCCACCTTGGAGTACTACTACACTCCACGGATTGGTGACATCCGCCCGGTCATCCTCTATCTGCCCATTCCAGCAAACAACTTCGAGATCAAGCCATGCTGGATTCAACTCATTACATCCTCTATCTAGTTCCATGGCTTGAAGGATGAGGAGGCAAGGGTGCATCTTTCCTGTTTTCTACAGCTGACGAACAGGTTCAAGCTTAACGGTGTTCCTGATGACGCAATCCGCCTTCACCTCTTCCCCCATTCTCTGGCAGGGAATGCTAAGAGGTGGTTGGAGACCCAACCCCCATTATCCATCACCTCTTTGGACGATCTGGCTAATAAGTTCGTGCACAGGTACTATCCAGCATCGAAGACTACAGAGATCCAGCGGGAGATCACTCACTTCCGCCAAGAGCCAGACAAGTCACTTCGTGATGCATGGGAGCGGTACATGGGATATTTCTGGCAGTGTCCCCATCATGGCTTCAGTGATGCATTCACAGTGGGGAACTTATACAGTGCTCTCTCCCCGGATAGCCAGAGGGTGATTGAGTCTCTATGCCCAGGAGGGGATATTCTCACTAAGACTCCGCCCGAGCTGAACTAGATGATCAGTACCTTGGCTGCCAAAGATCATTCCTGGGGGCAGAGCAGCAGAGGCAGAAATTCCCGGGAACGTGGTGTGCACACCATGGAGGCCAGGTACGGGCTCGAGTAGCAGGTGGCCGAGTTAGTGCAGACATTGAAGCAGCCCAACAGTCTTATTCCGGGCCGAGGTACGGCTACGCCTCCAGTAGCTCAGTGTCAGTGGTGTGAGAGCCCGAATCATCTGGTGGAGGACTGTCAGGCTATGCGGAGTCCTCTACTCCCCAAGAACAGGTGGATTTCATCGCCAATGCTCGACGCCTTGACCCATATAGCAATACGTACAATGAGGGGTGGCGCCAGCATCCCAACTTTGCTGGAACAGCAACGCCACTAAACCACCTGGTTTCCCAGCACCAGCGGGTGGTTTTCAGCAGAGGCAGCCCTTCCAGGCTAGGCAGGGGCCACCACCACAGCAGCAGCCCTACCAGCCTAGGCAGGGGCAGCCATTCCAGCAGCCCCAGCGTCAGTATGCCCAGCCTCCAGCAGCTGCAGCTCCAGATAATCAGATGACGGATCTGAAAAATATTTTGCAGGCGTTCATGACCACCAGCCAGGCGAATTTCACGAGGATGGATCATAACATAGCCTCACTGTAGGCAGGCCAGAGGAACCAAGGTGCCATTCTGCAAGATCTACAGAATCAGATTGGGAGCTTAGCTTGCCAAAACACCACCAGGGCACCGGGGACTCTGCCTGCCACCACTATTCCGAACCCCCGTGAACCTCACCAGCAGCTGGATGCCATCACTACCAGGAGTGGCAAGGCCATTTCTGCTGCTCCTGCCCAGCCCGGGCGAGACGAGCCACTACCTGCTTCAACACCTCCGGCTGATAATGCAGAAGTGGGGGAAGGCAAAGAATCACCTGCTCCCAAGCCGCAGCCTATGGTTAAGGAGCATGTACCCCAGCTGCCCTTCCCCACTCGCCTACATAAAGACAAGCTGGAGACAGAGTTTGCCAAGTTCATGGCAATGTTAAAGCAGGTCAACATCAGCATGTCGTTCGTGGAGGCACTGTCGAAGATGCCCAAGTATGCCAAGTTCATGAAAGACCTCCTCACCAACAAGAAGAAACTTGGGGATCTTTCGACAGTGATGCTAATCGAGGAGTGTTCTGCTATCTTGCAGAACAAGCTGCCCGAGAAGCGCAAAGACCCAGGGAGTTTCACTATCCCTCTTATTATTGGCAGCATGCATGTAGGAAAGTCCTTGGCGGACTTAGGCGCTAGCATAATTGTCATGCCTTACAAATTGTTTAAAAAGCTAGACCTAGGTGAACCTAGAGCTACTAGGATGAGTATTCAGTTAGCTGATCGTTCTATCGTGCATCCTAGGGGTATCATTGAGGATCTGCTTGTTAATGTAGGTGCATTCACATATCCTATTGACTTTGTTATTTTGGATATAAATGAGGATGTGGATGTGCCTTTGATTTTGGGTAGATCGTTTCTCGCCACCGCCAAGGCGCTTATTGATGTGCATAGTGGTAAATTGATCCTGCGTGCTGGTGATGAACATGCTACTTTTTCTGTGTCTGAGAATGGGAAACACTCTCATTTGCATGATGACATAGATTACTGTGATGTGCTTACTGACTTTGAGACCGCACTCGCCATAACGAGTGCGGGTACTAACGATGCTCTTGAGCATTGTATTTTGCTAGGTGAGCAGGAGCCGCAGCTGGCGGAGCAGTTGGCCGCGTTGGAGAGTGGCCCATTCTTGGAGGGCGACAGGCTGTTCAAACCGATCTCATCCTCCACCCGCATCACTACCTCCTTGGAAGAACCACCAGAGCTGGAGCTTAAGCCCCTCCTTCCTTATTTGGAGTATGCATTTCTCCGGGAGGGGAATAAGCTGCCAGTCATCATTAGCTCGACCCTCACACCCGAACAAAAGAACAGACTGGTGGCCTTGCTGAAGCAGTACGAGCGAGCTCTAGCGTGGAAGATCACAGACATCCGGGGGATCAGTACCTCCTTTTGATCCCACCGGATACTGCTAGAGGATGAGATGCGGCCATTGAGATAGCCACAGTGAAGATTGAAACCGAACCTGGAGGCGGTGGTTCGGGCAGAGATCGTGAAGCTGATGGACGCGGGGATCATCTTCTCCATTTCCGACATCGAGTGGGTCAGTCCCACCCAGGTGGTACCCAAAAAGGGTGGGATGACCGTGGTGCCTAACGAGAAGAATGAGCTCATCCCGATGCGCACGGTGACTGGGTACCATGTTTGCATTGATTATCAGCGTCTCAACGACGCCACTCGGAAGGACCACTTCCCGCTGCCGTTCATTGACCAGATGCTGGAGAGATTGGCGGGGCACGAGTTCTACTGTTTCCTGGATGGGATGTTGACACGCTAAAACACAACACCTAACAATGGCCAAGTGTAACCAATGAAAGGGACTGCAGTATAGGCAAGTTTAATTATCAACCCGGGGTCTAGATCTACTGCTTACTCCGTGATTCTCTATTATCTAGCAAACTAAGTCGAGTGATTGTTGTGAAAAGTAAAAGCAACAAGAAAGCAGTAATTTGTTCGGGTTTCTAAAGCAGGTAAGAGTCACTCGGGATTGAGTCCCCCTAGCCCCTTAGTTAGGTTCAATTGCAATTCCCTGGGTTGATTTACTGTTGATTAGACTGCGGAAGATCCGACAGTAGCTTGGAATCTCTTAAGCTGACCAAGCCCTCTCAGTCTAACTACCCGGCAGACGACTAGTCTTCACCGGGATAGAAAGCTGAGGCTATGAACACAGAACTCCACTACTGGCGCCAAGAACACCAGTACAAAGCAGTAAACTAGCTAACTCTCGTATAGCCAATCTCCTACTATCGAATGAAGAGGCTCTAACAACCTAATCAGATTCTATCTATCTCAGGTTGCAGCAGAAATTGAGAAAAGCTGATCAGACTCAAATCATTCAATAAACATGCATCATTCGATTA